TTTTTCTACTTTTTTATTTCTACTTATTGTTTCACTGAATGATAATCAAACCCCACGCCCTTGTTTACCCATTGCAGACTCACAGTGCATTTGTCAACGTCGTGAGGTATTGTCCCACAGGAACTTGTCTAGTTTCCGCTGGCGCGGATGGCAAAGTAAGTTTGTGTAAGTTTGTTTCAATATTCCTTGTAGATATTCGTGTATGATGGTGAGAACGGCGAGACTTTAGGAGAAGTTGGCTCACCGGCGCATAAAGGTGGCGTTTATGGAGCAGCGTTTTCCAAAGATGGATCACGTTTTGTCTCCGCGTCGGCGGATAAAACCTTGAAATTATGGAGAGTCGATGGTAAGGTGTTCACTCTCCTTTCGGAATACTCCTTTGGAAGTGCCGTAGCGAACATGGTGGTAAGTCACACCATTTACTGCTCTTCATCTCAAAACATTTTGGAGGCCTAATTAATTGTGTAGCCGGATAGGATCTAACGAAAACGAGTTTCCTTACAGAAAGATTTCAAATCGACCTCAAACGATTTGATACTTATTTGTTTCATGTGTCAACCCTTGTTCTCTTGACAATCTGAACGCCAACAACCTTATGGGTAGTGGTTTTCAGTGACGAATTCACTACTCATGTGCCGTGGTGTCGTGAAACGATACCACGGAGAGTTCCAGAGCGGTAGCGTATTCTGCACATGAAACCCGAAATTTGTACCGTCGCTCGACGACACTTTGTGTTGAATGGATCGAGGATAGTGTGAAGTGCTCGAGGATTGCTCCTTGACTTGATTGAGGAATTTCTTCGAGATTTATTGAGGCTGTCCATAGAGTTCCACAATTATCCGTGCTTAGTCTGTAGCTTTTCCCAGCATTCGACTCAAAGTTTGAGTGGAATGCTGACTGGGGAAGTAGTATAGGAAATAGACAAATATTGTTTTCTGGGCAGCTATATCTCACCCAACGGACACCTCCGATAAAATGTCGGCACGCATACAGAAAGCTCGGTTGGCATTTGCCAACTTGAGACATCTATGGCGCCGTCGCGACATCCGGTTGTCTGTGAAGGGTCGAGTATATGCTGCAGCAGTTCGGCCAGTTCTGCTTCACGGTGCAGAGATTTGGCCATTACGGGAACAGGATAAAAATAGACCGTCGGTGTTCGAACACCGCTGTCTACGTCGCATTTCACGAGTCTGGTGAGGTAATCGGACTAGCAATGCCGAGTTTATGCGAAGAGTTTGAGGTATTCGTGGTCGTCGATTGGAGCAAGAAGTCGAACTCTATAGAGTACACTGGTTGAGACATGTGCTACGCATGTCGCCAGATAGGTTGCCACGGTGAACGATGTTTACCGAGGCAGGTGACGGTTGGAAAAAGGTCGAGGGTGAAACTTAGACCTGGCATAAGGGCATGAAAACTTCAACCAGGAGGCTTGGTCACATAGACCCCGTTAGACTCCCTGTCTGAGGACCCCGAGATCATGATCACCGATGGTTAGAGACACTGAGCGATATGGCTGGATGTGGCAAACGGTGGCGATCTTTCATCTACTCATTATTCTTGTAACTTGAATTACTAAAACTTGATTTTGGATCATTCGACGCAAACCTGTTGCCCCTTTTGTTATCAGCATACATTAGACCACACCGAGTATGCTCCACAGGCTTGAAATCCATGGCTAGTTCGTGACCAAAAGGCATTTGAACGTCCGCAGAGAACAGTAACCAAAATGGTCAAGGGGTTATAATCTAAAACCTACGATGAAAGGCTGCATATTCTCGGACTCTATTGGTTTGAATACCGTCGAATACAGGAGCCACAATCCTCCTATATCCATCTCTGTTTTCCTTGGTCTGAGAGCAGCTTTCGGCTCAGTCAACCGCTCGAAACTCTGGCGCTGTATTTCCCCGACGGATGTGCCCAGAAGTTTATTTCAATATTACAATCCCTCTACAATAATAGCCGAAGCCGAGTTCGAGCTTACGGCACTTGTTCGCCCGAGTTCATCACGGAAAGTGGTGTTCGACAGGGTTGCCCTCTCTCTCCTTTTCTACTGAACGTTTTTATAGATTTGATTATAGAAACAGCCCCATCCTCGTGCGAGGATAGTGGCAGTGATTTACTCCCAGATGGTAGACCGTCTGATATGGAGTATGCAGACGACATTGAGCTGCTGCCGTCAGCCTGAGCTTCGGTAATAGGATTCGCGACTCATATATGATCCCCGATCGATCAATCAGTCAATCATTCCAATCAATTAATCAATCAATCAATGAAACCTTTTGGTGTTGCTTCCCTTCCGGACGCTGATTGAACCCTGAATACGCATCGCTTATAAACGACTGCTGACTGGAATGCAGTCGGCCCCGTCACTGAGTACAATTACGACCGTGCGCTGACCTGAACGGGCCCCTTCGTCACCAGATGTGCGAAGAACGTACTTCAACGAGTGGCTTATAGTAATTGTTTCCTTAATTCAAGACTGATACTCAGAAATATCGATCCCTAAGGATTCGATTTTGTGCGCTATACAAGGTTCTTGACCTACCTTCATTAGAGTCCTCACCTTGAAGGCCCTCAGACTCAGTGACTGACGAGGTTTCAGAATCTGCAATGTATTTCTTGTTAAATTACAGGACTGTTTAAGTACAGCCTTTGGCGAGTGACATCCAAGTGGCTTTACGGACTGTTCTGAGTCGAAAGAAGGCCCAAAGACAGAGGGCAGGGTACTGAAAAAATAGAATTAAACAAATGTTGGGATATCGGAGCAGTAACTCACCTATCACTACCCACCCCATTCGATGCAATGGGCAGCGCTGTCCTGATTATCCTGCGAGACCACCGACGCAATATAGAATCATTCTTAGTTTGTGTGTGCATTGGGGTTCGATGGACGGTTACTCCTAGGGTGTCCAGCCACTAAGCAGGAGAACGATTAAGGTTCTCAAACAAAGCCTGTAGTTCTATTCTACCATTACTCTACCATTTTTACCGACTGAGATACCAACTCATATTCAAACCCCCAACCTGGAAGACCAGGAGACTGGACTTCGTCGGACCTCTCCCCTTCGGCCTTCCAGGTATGACTAGATCGTTGACTTGACAAAAGCCATCCTGTATAGTTCTTTGAGTCAGACAGATGCACACGAATCGCGTTTGTCTTTTTCAACTAAGATTAGTTCCATATGCGACCGGAGAAGTTTTCCATTGGGGATATTCGGATCATATTCACATGCAGTGAACCTCTCAGATATTTTTATAGAGATATGCCGCTGTAGAACGTGACTTGGTTTGGTGGAGAACCATTGAGAACTATTTCCTTCAGCTAGGCGATTGTTTGTTGCATAATATCACTCCTTTCATAGAGGCATTAAACCTTTTGGGGAATTATTGAAAGCGTTCCAGCGAACATGTGCAATCTATGCATGATTCGTCGGTGTTGACTTAGTCTACGAACGTTGTATCCGTAGATAAACCTTTCCAAATGGCATTAATGCTGTATTCATGCGTCTGTATCGCCTTGTGAGACCAATGAGGATTACATTTTTATATCTCAGTTTGTTCGCGCGATATGGTTTGTTGGGTCTAATTTGGGCGGCATAATTGCAGCACACGTTACCACAATTAACCACGCAGATACGATCATGGTGCAACGGGAGTGGGGAGGGGGCAGCAAAACTCCATTTGCCCCTTGTGTTCCGAAGTAGGATAGAATCACGCAAAATTTGAAGAGAGCGAGAACTGTTGATTGCTGCTAATTCAGTTATCAAGACATTCGTCGAGTGACATCTTTGTAAACGATTTATTGAAAAGGAAACGAATTAACTTCAAACCACAAATATGTGCTCACTCAAGGACTTTAGGGGTATTCATATCATGATTAGTCAAGCTTACTGAGAACCTCAATCTATCATTTTAAGATTCTATTGTTTAATTATTGTATCGCTCACCTTTTCTGAGAATAAATTGTCCCTGTTAACTGTAATGTACCAAAGTTTTATGCTTCGCTTTGCACCTCATCAATTGAGGAAACTCAAGGCGGTTTACGGAAGCTAGTTTCAGCTAAAGAGTGGGCGTGCATGTTTTGAAGTAAGTTCAGGCGTGCCAATGATGTCAGATCAGGCCCTAGTTTCCGAAATTCTTTTTAGTGTGTTTCAATTCGATTGACTGAATTTAGCTCACTGAACCGTTGCATTTCTAGTCGATGCCTGTTACAGTTCAGGGCTAAAAAACATAGCAGCACGAAATGTAAAATCAATCATATGAATGTGAGTCGATGAGTAATTAAATTACACTAAGACTGCTGTGATTAAATGATCCCATCCACTTAACCGAGTTCATGGACTGATTTCCTCAATTCATTCTACAATTACTACCTGCCCTGACTAATACCTCACCGAAGAAATCTTTGTTAACATATACGACCTCAGCTTTGAAATCCGCAACATTTCCAATCCGTTGTCCCCATCAGCTGTTGCAATACTGGCAAGATATTCAAAACTTGGAAAATTCCCATATCGGCATGAAGAAAAAAAACGCGATGGTTTTTAGTGAACGAGCTCGTTTTCGACAGCTTCTTCTTCGGGGTAATACATTTATATAGTCAAATGAAAATGAAATATGTTCATCAATGGCTGTGTGATTCGTGGTTTTCCATTGTTTTTGGTGTGTAGTTCGGAAAGGGGTGGGATGGGAGGAAGTGATCGTAACAAGGTTGGGAAAACAATTAGGACGTGGACGTGTCATCACGCGTTAGGTTCGCGGGGTCATGGGAAAGGTCAAGTCTATGTCGGGGGTGTGTCACGTTGTGGCCAAGGCAGTCTGAGTGATTGTACGAATCGCGTTTGCGAACAAAGCGATGGGTTTATTATTCGGATGGCCACGGCTGTGGCTGTTGCGAGATGACGTTGACGGACGGCTTTCGAGGGGTTTGGTGGCACCTTGTAGATGATTCGAAATGCGTCATCGTCAACCT